TAGGTATGGAAACAGTAATTAACTATGAAACATATACGTGGGGAAGCTGTGATGACACATCTTGTTTTATTGATTTATAGCCTACCGTATTTTTCGCTCTATTAGACGCACCGGACCATAAGACGCACCTAGTTTTTAGGGGAGGATAACAAGAAATAAGAAAGCAACGCAAAGCCTCATGAGTGAAGAGGGAGCGCTCCTCCCTCTCCGCTCAGGAGGCTTTGCGGGGCTATCCCTGAAGCCAGGAGAGCAAGCGGGATCGGTGCACACCCATCCCTCTTGCCCTCCTGGCTTCAGCGAAAGCAAGCCTCCTGACTTCCCCCCCACCTCCCACAAGAGCCGCACGCTCTGTCCCTTCCCCCACCTCCCGCAAAAGCCAGTGATAGCCGCACAAAGCCTCCGCGGGGTAGCGGGATGAAGGCTCCCCGCTGCCCTGTGGAGGCTTCACGCCGCTAAGGCAGAAGTTAGAACAACTAGAGGGAGCACTGCGCAGCGCTCCCTCTAGCTGTTCTGGCTTCTGGGGTAGCCTACGAAGCCTCCGCAGGGCAGCGGGGAGCCTTCATCCCACTGCCCTGCGGAGGCTTTGCGGGCTACCCCAGAGCTGCTCAGGAGCGCAGGGCATCAGCGCACAGCCTGCCTGCTGCTCCCAGGGCTCGAGGGGGAAGCCCGGGTTTCCCCCGCCAGCCCCAAAGAGCAGCTCAGGAGCATGCCGCACTCTGGCAATTTAGCTCCAGGGACCACATATTCGCTCCATAAGATGCACAGACATTTCCCCTTAGTTTTTGAGTGCGTCTTATGGAGCGAAAAATACGGTACTTTTCTTCCAAGGTTCTTACCCTTCCCATTTTCACTCCCCCAACAGTACTGTGAGGTATGAAAAGTTGGAAGGGACCCTAAGGGAGCATCTAGTCCATCCCCCTGGCAATGCTGGGATCTCAACTAATGCATCCCTGACAGGAGGCCATCCAACCTCTGCTTAAGAAAACCTCCAAGGAAGGAGATCCCATCACCTTCCGAGGGAATCTGTTAAAAGCTCTTACCATCAGAAAGTTCTTCCTAATATTAGACAGAATCTCCTGTTTTGTCCTTTGAGTCCATTGTTTCAGGTCCTAAGCTGTGCAGCAGCAGAAAACAAGCCTTCTCCATCTTCCATGTGGCAGCCCTTCAGATATTTGAAGAAAACCTCTGTCTTCCCTGCTCCAGACTAAACATACCCAACTCCCTCAATCATTCTTCACAAGGCTTGGTTGCCAGACTTTGTTTTGTTTTTTAAAGCACAACTTTGGCTGAAACTGAAATGATCTTGGAAAGGCACCAGAACAAATACTCATTAAAGGGTGTGTCCTACTCAGTGTAGACCCATTGAAATCATTAATTTCAAGGGGGCTACTCTGAGTAGATGAACCCTAAGAATGCAATGTGTCTAAACAGCAATAGGCAACCTGTAGCCTTCTAAATGTGGTTGGATTCCAACTCTCATCGTCCCTACTCATTGACCATGCTGGCTGGGGATGATGGGACTTGCAAGTCAGACATCTGGAGAGCCACAGGTTTCTGACCCCTGACTTAAAGACACTCACTCGTTTGTAGAACACGCTTGAACTCATTGTGGCTTTTGAGAGAGGACATGTTCATAGTTCATCCTTGGCTTGGTTTATACATGGCCTCATTGATTAAGAACTGATAGGCACATATGCAAATACAACACCTTTATAAGACTGTTTGGCCTGATAATGACATGGCTTGGTGTGTTTTGCAATCTAGGACTTCTTGTCATCTAATGGGAGCATGATATTAGTCTTCACACGTGCCGTTCAGGAGGAGGGCAGTAGTACAGTTGCAGAACATCTGCTTTGTATATAGAAGGTCCCAGGTTCGATCCCCAGCATCTTCAGGTAGGAGATACACCACAGTTTCCCAGACTTGGGTCTCCAGCTGTTGTTGGACTACAACTCCCACCCTCCCTAGCTAGCAGCACCAGTGGTCAAGGATGATGGAAATTGTAGTCCAAAAGCAGTCTCCCTTCTTGTGGCTTCCAGCAGCTAGCATTCAGGCCATTGCTGACGCCAGCTATGGAGGCAAAGCACAGCCAATGTGGCTAGTAGCGGTTGTTAGTCTTCTCCTCCATGGATTTGCCTAATTCTCTTTCACAGCTATCCCTGCCTCCTGAGGGAGCGAGTTCCATGATTTAACTTCTTGTGGAATTTTACTCAATATTGATCCAGAGTAGATTCCAATGTATAGTTAACAGAGTAACAACCTAAACATGTTAAAGGATTCCCAAACTATAGACCAGAGGCAATTGCATTTCATCCTTGAGAGCTTTACTCCCACTGAAGGCAAATGAGCATAATGGTCACAAATCCAATACATTCAGGATTGGCACTGTCCATAAGAAATCCAGTTGCAGCAGACTTTACTTAAACTTACAATAACTTATAATAAGTCTAAACCCTAACACTAAGCATACTATGTACAGAACACCACACCAGAAGGAAAAGAGATAGAATGAGAAAGTGAAACGCAGGCTCCTTCTGGCCTTACTTACATAGTCAGCATGACCTTGACAGAAAGAGATAAGGGAACCAGTTTAAGCCAGCTGTACTCAGCTTCTCTGAAGGAATAACCCAAACATCACGAACCTTCTGCCTGCTTCTTTCACACAGAGAAGCTTCCAGAGGCTTCTAGAACCCTCTTGAGTTAATTAGAATAGGAAAGATCTCTACACATCAGATCAATACTTTCTGTACTAAGACATGCAAACTGACATAACTAAGCACAGCATGAAGAAGGAAATCTTTTAATCCAGACAGTATTTTCCAACATCCAGTTTTCTTGGATGTTTCTGAATGTTTACAGCCAGCTCTATCAAACATTATGCTGTAGCTATATCAGATGGGCTCCATTCCTGGCACTGTTGAGCCAAGGAGCATGCCACCAACAGAGCCTGCTCTTTGTCATGGCAATTATGTGGTGGGTGGACAGGACTCATAACCTGGTCATTCCACATCCAGAGGCAGGTTGTAGTTAGGAGAAATAAGCCAACTGCTCTAATACTACAGAAATGCTCCTTTGATCTGACTTGTCCTACATTCTATGGAGAATCCATTAGCTCACTAGCACAGGTCTACTATTATTACTTTCTTTTGTAAACAACGAACACTGCCACACAGGCAGTATTTATTTATCGTTTGTTTCAGAAAATGCTTATATTGTTGTGTTTTAAACACACACACCAACCTCAAAGCAGTTTGCAAAAAGATAAAAGAAGAAAATAAAGGCATGGAGGGGGGTACCTAATATTTTAAAACAATGCAGTGGTTAAAATACAATAGTTAATATACAAAAGCAGATTAAAATTACCTCAACTTCCTAAGCATCTAGGCAGGCTTGTCTAAAGAAGAAGGCAACTGAAATAGTACAGTGAAGGCACCTATAATCTCAATAGACAGAGAGTTCCAAAGTGTAGGTGCCGCGACACTCAACAATTGCAGACTGGGTATTATGTCACCCCCAAAGTGGTGTGGGGTTGCCATACGTCCAGATTTTCCCAAAGACGTCCTCTTTCTCAGGCCTAAAAATTCTATGGGACTGTGCTTTGGGGGACTGAACTCCAGGTTCCCTGAACCTGGATTGGCTGCAGAGGCGGGTACCTGGCCTGACGTGGCTGGCTGTATTGAACCTGGACCTGTTAGACTGCTGGACCACTCACTAGCATTTGCTCTTGGGACTGTGTACATCAGTGGGACTGGTTGCCAGGTACGCTGGGGTTCAGGGCATGCAGGAATCCGGTCCTTATGTAACCAGTGTGTGAACTCCTGCGGCAAGGCTTTACAGGTCCAGGAATGGCTGAAGCTGTCAAACCATCCACACTTGGTCAAAGGCACTTCTAGCCACAGAGACTACCTGAGCTTCCAGTGACAGAGCTGGATGCAGAACCACCCCAAACTGCGAACCTGCTCCTTCAGGGTGGGTGCATCCTGCGTAGGCAAGATACCATGGTCGATGATATTGAATGCTGATGAGAGAGTAAGAAGCAGGAGCAAGGTTGCACTCCAGTAGTCCCGCTCTCTGCATCAGGGTGACCAAGGCCAATTCAGTTCTATGGCCAGGCTGGATTGGAATGGATCTAAACAGCACGACAGTGCCCATTTTAGATTAGGATCCTACTAATTCCTCCTTAGATCTCACTTGACTTCACTAGGTCTGCTCTGAATAGGACTAATGTTGGCTGCAACCTATTATGCTGAAATGACCTCATGAGAAGGATCTGTTCTCTTGTCTTCTATAAAGCAACCTGCACACTAATGGTGATCTCCGTGTATAAATACAGAGAGACACACACTTTCTAGACCTGTGTTTCCCAAACCTGGGTCTCCAGCTGTTTTTGGACTACAACTTCCATCATCCCTAGCTAGCAAGACCAGTGACCAAGGATGATGGGAATTGTATCCCAAAAACAGCTGGAGACCCAAGTCTGGGAAACACTCTTCTAGACTAAGCAGGGATGAGCAATATCTGTGTCCCTGCAGATGATTTTGGACTTCAGCTCCCATGAGCCCCAGCCAGCATGGCCAAGAGCAATGGGAGTTGTAGTCCAGCAACATCTGGAGGGCCACAGGTTCCCCATCCCTGCCCTCTTCATATCTCTGTCTATTTCTCTATATAAACATTTGAGTGCAAATTTAATAAATAATAAAGTTTGGAATATTAATTTCCTTAGAAATGAAGTCCATTTTTCCTATCTAACTTGCTCCCCATTGCAACCTCCTTTGATTTATTGATGAGTAGCTCTTTGTTGTCATATGGGTGTTTTGCATCATGGGCAGAGGTGGAGCCAGGCTGATACTGTCTATTCTAATTTGTCCACCAGACCTTTTGCCCTACGACAAATATGTGTCGAAGCTCTTTCATCGCCTACATAAAGAAACAACTGGTTGACACGCCAGGAGGAGCTGCCATAACCACAGCATTTGCTTTGTCCACAGCAAAGTGGAAGGATGTCCTTTGGCAGGTTCGTAGCATCTGCTCTTGTTACAGTTTGCATCTATCCAGCCTTGTTTCTGGTCTCCACTGTCACCCACTTTGCCCAAGCTGTCTTGCCTCCTGGAATTGACCAGCCATTAAAGCTCCGTCTTTTTCATATTATATTCATCTCCTTGTTCCCTCTGGTAAGTGTTCCTTAATTCTGAGTACTCAGAAGCTCTTAATCTCAGAGTTATAGGTTCAAGCCCCATGTTGGGCAAAAGATTCCTGCACTCCTAAGCCTATTGCGGAATGGTATTATAGCCTCCAGGGTCAGGGAAAGTCTAGCAGTGCCTATTAACTATTGGAGAACATTAGCAGGGTAGGGTTGAACTAGATGTACTCTTGGTCTGAACTGGAATGGGAGGAACTGTCAATTTTGTTTTCTCACCTTTCCAGTCTTAACTTCACTCTACTTTTGCCTCAGTTTCTGGTGCATGTTTGCTTGTTCTTTTTAGAAATGTTTTCAAAAAACTTCATGCATATTTTTTAGCTCATTTGCTCATTTAAGAATGTGAAGTTAATCCTCTTTATTCAAAGAAGCAAAATAGCTCAGGAGGCCAAGTGAGCACAGCAACTCTTCCCCAAAGAGGGGAAGTTCTTGCCCCAATGAAGCTGTTGTGAGGACTGAAGGTCCCTGCCTTCCCACAGATCCCTAAGTCTCTTCCCCCACCCAGGTCCTTCTCAAGCAATCTGAGACTCCGTTGCCTTATCTGTCTCTGCTCTGCTCCCTTCATACCTCTTCTGGTCCTGGGAAACCAGGGGAGAAGGAAGCTGATTGCAGCAGGAGGAGAAGACTCGCTGTCTTCTTCAGCAGCCTGCTTGGCCTCCCTCCCTTGTAGCCTTTGCTCCTACCTCTGCTTCTGGACTCTTCCTGCTCACCAAACCCTGTTAACTCTTCAGCTCCCGACCTCTTCTGCTCCCTCTTCTCCCTCTGACCACGTATTGTGGTCCTACTACAACTCTCCAGTACAAGATAGAGGACCGGATGAACCAGCGAGCTAGTCTTCTTGTGTCCTTACCTGTCACCTTACCTGTTTAGTACAACCCCTATCATCTGCAACCTTCAGCCATGCTGGCTGCAACTGATCTGAGTTGAAATCCTGCCACTGGCTCCCCAAATTTGATTTGTATAATGGAAATGAAATGGAGGGCAAGTTGATGGCAAAACACAAACAGGATTCTGCTTGTTTCAGTTTTCCATTTATTGCAACTCTTTTTTATGCTTTATTGGTTGAAAACTTTATAATGGAAATATGCAATAGATGTTACAGGCAAAATGAGAAATACAAATAAACAATTATTCATTCTTTAACTAATATTTGCTTTTGTAGATTTGACAAGACCTCCAATCTTCCCCTTGCGTTCCCAAATTAAGTTCCTTAAATATGCACTTAAACTTTACTTTCTCTATGTTATTTGACTTACTATAAATTTTATTTTATAAAATTAACCTAGTTACACACCAAAGCTCAAACAAGACCTGCCAATTGATTTTTTGACAGTGTTCTTTTACATATACTCTGTATGTATCCCACTCTCGGATACATTTTTCATCTGTAACATCTCTTAACCTTTCTGATCTCACCAGCTCAGTGTACTCTCTTATTTTGTTTTGCCATTCTAATTTAGATGGAATCTCTCCCTTCCAGCCTTTTGCAATTAGCATACTAGCAGCAACTATAACATACATAAAGACTCTCCTGAACTTTTGGGGGATTTCATTACCCATAATTTCTAGCAGGAAGGCTTCAGGTTTTTTGGGGAAGGAGCAATTGAACATTTTCTTGAGCTCATTATAAATCATTTCCCAAAATTGTCTGATCTTTTTACAGTTCCACCACATGTGGATCCATCAGCTTCCCTGCATTTCCAGCAAGCATTTGTCTTAGATCTGAACATTTTGGCAAGCTTAACAGGCATTAGATGCCACCTGGAAAGCATTTTCATGCAATTTTCTTTTAAATCATAGAAGGGAAAGGTAAAGGGACCCCTGACCATTAGGTCCAGTCGTGGCTGACTCTGGGGTTGCAGCGCTCATCTCGCTTTATTGGCCGGCATACAGCTTCCGGGTCATGTGGCCAGAATGACTAAGCCGCTTCTGGTGAACCAGAGCAGCGCACGGAAACACCATTTACCTTCCTGCCAGAGCAGTACCTATTTATCTACTTGCACTTTGACGTGCTTTCGAACTGCTAGGTTGGCAGGAGCAGGGACTGAGCAACGGGAGCTCACCCTGTCACGGGGATTTGAACCGCCGACCTTCTGATCGGCAAGTCCTAGGCTCTGTGGTTTAACCCACAGCGCCACCTGCATGTTAAATCATAACATGCTGTAATTTTGATGTCTTCCTTCCAGAGTCTCTCCCAACTTTCCATGTAGATGTTGCAGCAGCGGCGGTTCCATTTATTGCAACTCTATAGTCATCTGACCTTCTCAAACAAATAGTTCACATCTTTTTTTTTCTTTTTTTTTGCAAACAGGGAGCAATTGGGAAGAAACTGGGACTGTTCTCTGTTTTGGATCTTTTGAGACTTGTAGCAAATGGATTCCCACTCTCCCCGGATGCATCCCTTCTAATTCAGAACCAGCAGTTTGACGAGGTGCCGGTCAGGGTTTATCAGCCTAAGAAAACAACTACTGGGAAAAGGAAAGCTTTTGTTTTTATTCATGGAGGGTCTGGTGTCTTTGGAAGTCCTGGTAAGAAAAAAAGGCTTCTTTAGATGACGACTGAGCAAACAAAATTACAGAGTGTTCTTTTTAGGTCAAAACAAAAATGAAACCCCATCAGTGCTGTGCTACATTTTTGGGTGATTTAGTTTTTTCAGTTGGGGGGGGGGGGAGCTGCAGAGGTGTGCTGAAAAAGTTGCGACCTACCCTTAAGGTCCAACTCTTTCTTTCTCTCCACTGGAGGTTTTTAAACAGAGGTTGGATGGCCGTCTGTCAGGGATTCTTTAGCTGTGATTCCAGCTTTTCAGGGGGTTGAACTAGGTGATCCCTGGGATCCCTTCCCGTTCCATGATTCTATGATTCATTCACACCCTGCATATTCTGCTTGTCTGCCCTGCTTTTGTAGAAGCATATTACTTATCGACTGCCTATCCCTAACCCACACCCCTTCTCCTTAGGCCACATCTTTCCCTTGCTCTGCTCCATGCTCTCCTCAAATATACGAAGATAGCTCACTCAGTAGAGCATGAGACTCTTAAGCTCAAGGTCACGGGTTCACGTCCCATGTTGGGCAAAAGAGTCCTGCAGTGGGTTGGACTAGATGACACTCATGGTCCCTTCCAACTGCACAATTCCATGATCCTAAGTGTCCTGAACTGTGATGAAGCTTTCTGCTTGACTATCTGCACGAACCTCTAAGTCTGTAGGCTACATTCCAGCCAGAGTTAGGCTACAGCAGTACAAATGTAAGATCTTTGTCCATTGCTCCACCTAATTTGTTTGTTTGTCTGGTTGTTGGATGTTTGCATCAGGCCCTCCCCAACACCCTTAGCCTGTGCCCTCTAATAATAATTACCCAGCCACTCTGGGCAGCTTCCAACAAAGATTAAACATACATTAAAACATGAGTCATTAAAAAGTTCCCTAAACAGGGCTGCCTCCTAGAAGGTTTCCTAAGAGGGAATCTAGGACCTGGGCTGAGAATAAAAGATCCCCCTACCCCTCGCTTTAGGACATCACCTGGGCATCTCTCTGAAAACTCTTTAAGGGGCTATAGTTGGTTTGATTGACCTTGTATGTATTGCAACTGTCTCACTTTTAGAGGGCTACGAGAGATTATTGCGGCATATTGCCAAGGAATGTGGAATGGTGGTTGTAGCTGTTAGGTAAGTGCCATTTCCATCTTGCCATTGCTCCCTGATTACGCTCTTAAAACCCAAGGCATTGCAACACCTGTGGCGAAACACCCATTACTGCACCTGCAATGGGAATGCAAGCTGCTAAAGGAGTCTCCCCTGCTCTCCTCAGCAATAGGGGAAGCGTTCCAGAGAGATCTGTTGCTAGTCCCCCTAGAGACAAGGGAGACCAGCGGCAAAGCTGCATGCAGGAATGGGTTTGCTGCCCCTTCAGGGTTGCCGCCTGAGGCAGCCATCTCACCCAGCCTCATGTGTAGGTTGACTCTGGTGAGGTGGCCGATCAGATGTCTGTGGGAACCAGCAAGAAGGATTTGAGGATATAAAAGCACTCTGGCCTTCTGTGGGTCTTCCAGCAAGTCCTATTCAGAAGCATTGCTACGTCCAACTATGGAAGCAGAGCGGAGACATCTTGGAGCGTAGCCCTCAATAGCCCCCTCCTCTATTAATTTGTGCAATCTTCTTTTAAAGCCATCCAAGATGGTGGCCATCACTGCCTCCTGTGGGATAGCATTCCGTAGATTAACTATGGACTGCGTGAAGAGCCCTTCCAACATTCAGCTTCATTGAATGTCTACGAGTTCTAGCGTCACAAGAGAGCGAGAAAAACCTTTCTCCATGTTTTACCTCTTACCTTGTAAGAGCCAGCTGTGACCATCAAACTCGCTCTCTAGCCTGTCTGCATCTCCCTCCTCACACCGAGGTTTTCTGTTTCATAGCTTAAAAATGGAACATATGTGCCTTTGCCAGACCTTACTACGGATGCAGGTGGCGCTGTGGTCCAAACCACTGAGCCTATTGGGCTTACCGATCGGAAGGTCGGCAGTTTGAATCCCCTTGATAGAGTGAGCTCCTGTTGCTCTATCCCAGTTCCTGCCAACTTAGCAGTTAGAAAGCACACCAGTGCAAGTAAATAAATAAGTACCGCTGTGGCGGGAAGGTAAAGGGCATTTCTGTGCGCTCTGATTTCCATCACGGTGTTCCATTGCACCAGAAGCAGTTTAGTCATGCTGGACACATTACCCTGAAAGCTGTCTGTGGACAAACACCAGCTCCCTCGGCCTGAAAGCAGAGATGAGCGCCGCACCCCACAGTTGCCTTTGATTGGACTTAACCATCCAGGGGTACTTTACCTCCCCCCCCTTTACTGGGTTCATGGTATGTTTTCTGAACCAGGATGTTTATTTAAAAGAGAGACCAAATGTTTCTGAGTACTCAAAATCACCTCCTTGCCCATGGCTGCACTGCTCTTGGAGGATCAGCCCCTAGTTCTAATTTCTGTACCTCTACCACCAATTGAAAGGGATGCAGGTGGTGCTGTGGGTTAAACCACAGAGCCTAGGGCTTGCCGATCAGAAGGTCGGTGGTTCTAATCCCCACAACGGGGTGAGCTCCCATTGCTCGGTCCCTGCTCCTGCCAACCTAGCAGTTTGAAAGCACGTCAAAGTGCAAGTAGATAAATAGGTACTGCTCCGGCGGGAAGGTAAAAGGTGTTTCCGTGCGCTGCTCTGGTTCGCCAGAAGCGGCTTAGGCATGCTGGCCACATGACCCAGAAGCTGTACGCCGGCTCCCTCGGCCAATAAAGCGAGATGAGCACCGCAACCCCAGAGTCGGCCACGACTGGACCTAATGGTCAGGGGTCCCTTTACCTTTACCACCAATTGAAAACAGGATAATAATTCTTCTGCACATATGAGAAGAAGCAATGACACCCCTTTTTCTTCTCTCCAGGTATGGGCTTGGTCCAGAGAACCCTTACCCAAACCAGTATGTCGAATGTCTCAGGGCCCTTGTCTACTTCATGAAGAATGTTGCTGATTATCATGTGGACTCCTCCCATATTATTGTTGGGGGGGACAGCTGTGGGGCCAATTTTGCCACCCGGCTTTGCCAGTTGCTGGTGGACAGAAAAGATCTCCCCAAGATTCATGCCCAGATGTTGCTTTATCCAGCACTGCAGGGAATGGACTTCAACCTGCCTTCCTATCAGCAGAACAGCCAGGTACCTATCTTGTTCAGGCAGGTGGTAGGCCATTATATATGCCTTTACCTGAATAAGAATACTTCCCTTGCGAATGACGTCCTGGAAGGCTGCCATGTTCCTGAGCATATCAGACTGAAGTACCAGAAATGGGTAAATGGAGACCTCATTTCTGAAGAATTCAAAGTCAGAGGCTACAAACCACAAGACCCCAAAATATGTAAATTTAAACCTAAGGTGTATGAAGAAATGAAACAACTATTGGAGTTGACATTTTCACCACTTTTTGCTGAAGATGCTGTCATCTGCCAGCTTCCACAGACATACATTTTGACCTGTGAGTTTGATGTGCTTAGGGATGACGGGCTTCTGTACAAGAAGCGGTTAGAGGACAATGGTGTGTCTGTAAAATGGGTCCATCTTGCAAATGGCTTTCATGCGGTGGCCGTTTGTTTCGGCTATGGGAATCTGTCATTTCCGACGGCAGATCAGATTGCGGAAAGTGTAGTGGAATTTGTCAAATCTTTATAAGGCAAAGGGACAAGGAAACAAATTGTCTTGTCCCACCCTCTCCTGAATTGTTGAGCCCACATTACATCTCTAAAGAAATGGTGTTGGCTAAGGCCCCCTGCCACTCACCAACCCCCCACCCCCTAAACAAATGGTGTAGTACAAATGGTTGCATCCCATTAAATCCAACACAGAGTAGACCTATTGAGATGAATGTACCTAAGTTAGTCATGCTCACCAATTTCAGTGTGTCTACTCCGAGTAGGGCTATCATAATAGAAACCAAATTGTTGGCATACATCTGTCTCGGGAGACAATGGAAGAGTGTGCCTTTGATTGTGAGGTCAAACTGTTGGAAGGTCGCAGTGCCTGCTGTGGCTGTAGGGACCGATGCAGGAGAGACATGTTTTGTTGCATCTGGGGCAGATGGAGGCATCTGGTTGTGCTGCTGTAGATACACCATGGTGTTTCTTCTCTCTGAGCTTCTCCCAGGGAACATTCACCCTCTGGTCACTGCTATGGACACAACCTGACTGTCTGTCTCCAGGCACTGTCTGTCTCTAGGCACTGTGGTTGTCTGCAAGGGATTATCACATGGATGGGTTGATGTTGCCAACCTTCACAAGTTTTTTTGGGACTGTCCTGCCATGTGATACCCCAAATCCTCCTGAGACAGTGCATGTGGAAGGTGCTGTGGCATTGCTTGACTCACTTCCATAAAGCAGCATGCTCAACACACAAGCGGTCCTGTATACGTGAAGGAGCGTCTCCACTCCCATCATTCAGCCCGGACACTGAGATCCAGCACCGAGGGACTTCTGGCAGTTCCCTCATTGTGAGAAGTGAAGTTACAGGGAACCAGGCAGAGGGCCTTCTCGGTAGTGGTGCCCGCCCTGTGGAATGCCCTCCCATCAGATGTGAAGGAAATAAGCAGCTATCCTGTTTTTAAAAGACATCTGAAGGCAGCCCTGTTTAGGGAAGTTTTTAATATTTAATGCTTTAATGTTTTTAACACTCGGTTGGGAGCTGCTCAGAGTGGCTGGGGAAACTCAGCCACATGGGCGGGTTAATAAATTATTACTATAATTACTATTATTATTATTATTATTATTAGCTTGGTAGACCTTCATCTTGATATTGGATGTTAGTATCATATTCCCCCATACCCTTTTGGAGAGGTGAGTCATTGCCATAATTGCCTTGCCAATATGCTTGTCCAGCTAAGCATCGATGGAGAGGTTGCTGGTTATGGTGGAACCCAGCTAGACAAATTTGTCTGCCATCTTGCCTACTCTGAGCTAACATAATATAAACCAAACAATGCATTATTTATTCAGGGACAAAACAAGGATTTCTTTCACCCAGGTCAAAGACTCAGATCAGCACCATCCCATGTGTGATTGCATGCACATGTACACACACACACACACACACACACACACACACACACAGCTCAACAAGTTTGTTCTTGAAGGGCATAAAAAGTAGGTAATATGATATTTGAATACACACAAACACACACAATTTTTATTGGTTTCCAACATAATTTAAGCAACAAAATATCCAACAGGATATTTGGGGGTGAATAGGAGTCGCAGGGGAGGGTGCCTGGGAAGGGAGGACAGGGCAGAAGAGAAGCCCAGACAGTAAGATAGTTGGGAGGCTGAGAGCAGCTGTGGCGCCTTCTGAAGGCTTCACTCCAGGCAAAATTCCTGGCTAAAATGCCCTTAGTTATGCCACCGATTTATTTCTTTAACATATTCCTATCTGCCTTTTTCCCAAACTGGGATTCAAGGAAGCTTCCAACATATGAGAAACATTATAAAATACAAAGCAATAAAAACAAGCTAGTTATAAGCAATAATTAAAATAATGTACATAAAGAGCACATTTAGAACCAGCAATCAAATTATAACTTGCCCTGACAGCAGCCTGGCAGTTAGCATTGTCTGCTCCTTAGTTTCCAAAGGCTTCTTGGAACAAGGAGGTCTAAGCCTGCCAGCAGAAGGATAACGAGGAGCAAACCAGTCTAAGAGCATTTCAGGGAAGGGATTCTGCAACACAGGAGCGGCCTCAGAAAAGGCTTTCCTTTGTGTCACCACCCACTGTGCCTCTGATGTTGGCTGGACTAAAAAAAGGTGATCACCTGGGCAGGTTCATACAGGGAATCTTTCAGGTAGCATGGGATAAGGTATTGATCCATCAGTCCCAAGCCTGCCTTGAGCATCAGAGCCTACCTGCAAACGCTAATGTGTAATCCAGTGGTTCTCAAAGTGTGTGGTATACCACACTGGTGTGGCAAGAGAGGATGGCAGGAATAATAATAACAACAATAATTTATTATTTATACCTCGCCCATCTGGCTGGGTTTCCCCAGCACTCTGGGCGGCTTCCAAGAGAATATTAAAATACAATAGTCTGTTAAACATTAAAAGCTTCCCTAAACAGGACTGCCTTCAGATGTCTTCTCAAAGTCTGGTAGTTGTTTTTCTCTTTGACATCTTGTGGGAGAGCGTTCCACAGGGTGGGTGCCACTACCAAGAAGGCCCTCTGCCTGGTTCCCTGTAACTTGGCTTCTCACAGTGAGGGAACCGCCAGAAGGCCCTCGGTGCTGGACTTCAGTGTCTGGGCAGAATGATGGGGGTGAAGAACGATCAAAGAAACATTTAAATATTTCAGTGTAGTACAGTGTAGTATCAAAATAATTTAGTTTAGCTGAAGAATATGGAGAGATGCTGTATCTTTTCGAAATCAAATACTGCTAGGAGATTTTTCTTTTTGTTTCCAGAGTATTTCTTACCAATTAAAAAATTGGTTTTGCATGAGCAAATTCTTATTCTGAAAGTGTGACCCAGAGAAAAATGTCTGAGGACCAGTGATGTAATCCTTTCATTCCTGCATTACAGGGACTTGGACTAGATGACTCTCAGGGTCTGCAATTCTGTGAACCTTTCTGCTTTCAGACAACAGTGTGAAGAAACAAACACCTGCCTTTGTTTGCAAATTAAATTAAATTAGTTGCACCATTGTTTGGGAAACATATGTGGGACTAGCATTGGGAAATGCAATTTAAACCAGTGATTAATAGGATGAGTAAGATTGCTACTTTGTGAGAACTGTGGGTTCTTAACTGCTGCAACAAATGCAGCAAAGGAATGGACTAATTTGCTTGTATATCCATAAACACTTCATAATTCTTTAAATTGACCTTTTATCTTGCTTGATTTTATTTATTTATTTATTTGTTTGTTTGTTTCCCGCTTTTCGTCTGGGATAGCTCAGTCAGTAGGGCATGAGACTTCATGTCAGGGTCACGGAATCGAGCCCCACCCTGGGCAAAAGATTCCTGCATTACAGGAGGTTGGACTAGATGACCCTGGTGGTCCCTTCCAACTCCATGATTGTAAAATAATCCCAAAGTGGGTTACAGTAAAGCAAAATGGGCCATATCCAACTCAGTCCCACTCAAGCTAGACCCATCACAATTACTCAAATGGGTTAAGCCGACATGCATTTTCAAATGTTGTTTTCTTCTTTGGATAATGTATATGTTTAACTACTGGTTTTCTTTTTCTTTTTTAAAATGTTTTTATTAACAATTTCAACATAACAAATGATAAAAACATATCATATTCATTATTTCTCCCCTTTCCCCCCTTCAAACCCTCCCCCCCAGAGACTTCCCTCAGCTCCTCTCTCTGATTTCTCAACACATATTATTCTCTGCATGTTACAAAATTATACATATCCTTACCGTTATCAACCAATAAATTTGTGTGTGTTTATTCAAAATCTGCTAAGGAGTCCAATTCATTTTGTTGTCTTTTTAGATATTGTAAAAAGCTCCCATTCTTCCTTAAAATCACAATTGTCCTTGACCTGCAATTTGTATGTCAATTTAGCCAGCTCTGTGCAGCTCATCAATTTTTCTTGCCACTGTTCTTTCGTTGGGATTTCCTCATTCTTCCATGCTATCAAAACTGTTGCCGCTGTTGTCGCATACATAAATAAGCTTCTGGTTTTTTTACAAATGTCATTTTAAACATTTTTTTCAGCTCAAACTACTGGTTTTCTTCATATTTGGAATCAGCTTGCTTTTAGCTTCTTGTGAGATATAATTTCCAAGTGTATTTTATGCTTAATGTAAAATATGCTTAGTGGTTTCAACAATCAAGCATGGTACAAATCTTGTTAAATAGATAGCTGAACTTAAGTTACATGTGCCCATTCCTTTCAGTGGGTTGATAGCATTTCTCTATAAGCAGGCCTTTGGCTAGTTAACATTCAATGGCCTTTTCAAATGCGGGGGGCGGGGGGAGAGAAGGATATTGGTTTATTTTAGTTTTAGTTTTAATATGTATTTTGTGTTCTCGTTTTGTATTTTTATGTTGTGAACCGCCCAGTGACCTTCAGATGAAGGATGACATACACATCATAATTGTAATCATAATCACAAACACAATCATAAACATATACAGTGGTACCTCAGGTTAAGTACTCAATTCGTTCCAGAGGTCTGTTCTTAACCTGAAACTGTACTTAACCTGAAGCACCACTTTAGCTAATGGGGCCTCCTGCTGCCACACGCCGCCGGAGCATGATTTCTGTTCTCATCCTGAAGCAAAGTTCTTAACCCGAGGTACTATTTCTGGGTTAGCGGAGGCTGTAACCTGAAGCGTATGTAACCTGAAGTGTCTGTACCCCGAGGTACCACTGTAGATGATTTAATGCTCAGGTCTGTGTGACACAATAATGCACCTCCAAACTTGGCAGCTAGTAAAAGTGTGCATGGTCAAACAGCCAGTTTGCTCTGTGCGGAGCTTCCTGTATACAGTGGTACCTCGGGTTAAGTACTTACTGTAATTCGTTCCAGAGGTCCGTACTTAACCTGAAACTGTTCTTAACCTGAAGCACCAGTTTAGCTAATGGGGCCTCCTGCTGCTGTCGTGCCGCCGGAGCACGATTTCTGTTCTCATCCTCAAGCAAAGTTCTTAACCTGAAGCACTATTTCTGGGTTAGCG